AAGTCATATTCATGAAAAAAATTTGTTTGCGATGTCCTAAGAGTAATGTCGTAATATCCTAATATCTTTTCAATGTTTAGGGGTAATGTACTCCCTCATGACTAATGTCAGTGCTATAAAGTGAAGCATCAGCTTCAGCTTTCCTCCTGTCGTTTATCCCAGCGTTTACCCCTCACGTCACTAGCTCCGCCCTTGCGCCATAGCTCGTGACCAGAAGAGAAGATGAGTCGGGGAGGGGAGGTTAACGTTTTTGATTAAAGATTACGAGGGCACATGAATTAAAAAAAAATTATGAAGTGCACGGATAAATTATTTATAATAAATACTACAGTATTTTGATTTCATGGTGACTTTAAGTTTAAATTCAGTAAATATCTTGCTCGTTCTTTTTATGTTCCACGGAAGAAAGTGAGTATTTCTCGAAACACATGATGGGTGAACTATTCCTTGAAATGATGTCTAAATTCAAGAGTTTCTATCTAATTATTACATTGAGCAGCAATTTGTTATAAATCACAAATGCAAACAATACCAGCAAAGCTAACAGAAACAGACCACACTTGAAGTCTAAAAACAGCCTGATCTGTCTGTTAAACAATGGTTTGTGACAATGTCCTGTACTCTGTGTCAATGACATCTGACCTCTTCATCTTCAGACCACCTGTATGAGCCTTTTAGGCTGCTAAAGCACACTCACACAAGGCTGCATGTGTCATTACAGGCCCCTAGTTACCAACCCTATGAGACCTCAGTCAGGGCTGCATAAGTGTGCTACATGTATCACTAATCCTAATCTACCTTTCAAGCATTAATAGTGACACATAAATGCTCCTTAACAAATGCAAATCCCCAAGTTGTTCCTGAAGGAATAAAAAGGGCTTATCATAAAAATCCTTCATCAAAAAAGAAAATATTACTGACACTGCAGCCATAATAAAATGATTTATTTATATTAATAATATTTATATGAATTATATCAATATAATATTTTATTTTCTTATTTATTATTTAGTTCTTCTCTTTCTTATGGAGACTCGATTTTATATGGAACTATTCTGAAGCATTAAAATACTTGAAATGAATCCCAAAACACAAATAACCAGAAGCATGACCCAGGATTCATTCTCAGTCCAGCCAAGAAGCTGATCTATATATATTCCTTTTACAAAATGACCAAACTGAACCAAATTAAATTATTCAATGTTAACTTTGCTTAACAGATCCCATATCTTCATACACAATGTATAGACTACAAAAATAACTACATTTTACACTCATATTAATGTGCTTAAACATCAATTAAGCAAATTCCAGACTTAGTAAGGCATTCTTGTATTTCCAATCAATTTTATGTGCTATATCCTGTGATATATTTCACCCTGAATTTAGATGCCAACAGCTGAAGATACTAAAAATGAGTAACTACTCCCTTAAAGTGTCAGGCTCTGTATCTGATGAACCAGGCGACTGCATTTGAGATTATTGGTGACAGATGTCTGTGGGATCTCACCTGCTGAGCACACCGAGAGAGTCGCAGGGGAGAGACCCTTTTACTCACAAACACTGTCAAGGTAATTAGTCCCTTCGGCGCCAATGCTTTCATGGAAGCCACATTCATATTTAAAAAGTCATCCATTGTTGCATATTGTTGCCATTTCCAGTGTTGTTACTGGTGCAAAAGAGCTACAGTAACTGTGTAGTTTAATAATAATAATAACATAAAAATATCAGTACATCAAACGCATCACATTTTGCCTTATTAAAAATGTTGGCAGTGAAGGCTATGTTAGTTAGTTCTAACGATTTACCAAAAAATAGTACAGTACTGTGTTCCTGGAAGAGGAACAGAAAACTAGTCTTGAAAGACATGGCAACAAGCACACAAAATTCACACACCTTCAATATCTCTAAATGCTTCTAACAAACATAGTTTGGCACACAAATACAATATTTGTATTTTTCATCATTTAAGTCAGTGGGGTTTTTTTTGTAGCCACTCAAGGGTATGGTGCTTTGCACACAGTAACCTCTGGGGCACACTGGAAAAAAAAACAAAAAAAAAAACTACACAGGGCAAATATGATGAAGCTTGGAGATAAAATTGCAATGACCAGCCTTTGAAAATCCATTTGTGCTGCGTAACTACATTGTACCAGATTCATGCTGCTACAAAGAGCTGTGCTATACTAAGACGACACAAATTTAGTAAAAAAAAAAAGCTGAGCTCTAAAATGATGCAGGGCCAATGCAATAATAGACATTATGCATAAAAGCATGTTTCTAAATAGGTAGTGATATCTATGGCATATCAGCCCATGCTCCAGTTTACTCTGAACAACTACTACAGTACAAAGTTTCAATATTCTACCTAAAACGAAAGCTGAATGTTTTATCCATACATTCTACCGTACACTACCATTCAAAAGTTTGGGGTTGTTTTTGAAAGACGTCTCTTCTGCTCAACAAGGCTGCATTTATTTAAACAAAAATATAGTAAAAACAGTAATGTTATGAAATATTATTATAATTTTATTTATTCCTGTGATGGCAAAGCTGAATTTTGAGCAGCCATTACTCCAGTCTTCAGTGCCACGTGATCCTTCAGAAATCTTTCTAATATGCTGATTTGGTGCTCAAGAAACATTTCTTATTATTAACATTGTTAAAAACAGTTGCGCTACTTAATATTTTTTGTAGAAACCAAAATGCATTTCTTTGGGATTCTTTGATAAACAGAAAGTTCAAAAAAGTTATTTTGTAACATTTATACTGTCAGTTTTGAGAAATGTAATACTTTGCTTTGTAATTTGTAGCTTTGCTGAATAAAAGTATTAATTTTTTTTTTTTTAAAAACTTCATGACCCCAAATGTTTTGAACAACAGTGTAAATCCAAAATATTTCCTTACAGACTTTCAACACCATCATTCACAAACCTTTCATTAAAAGACAAACATTTATAAGTTTTAATCATTTTCCACAGCTTTGCCTCAAAGCAGTTGGATGTGAGGAGCATAAGGCAGCAAATCCCTGTCCTTTCAAATCAAGGATTTAAGAATTACCAGCCTGTAAGACAAACCCTTGCTTTCCCAGAGAAGGTCACACAGGGTAGACCCATGTCTACGTGAAGAAATATTTATAAAACAGTGTACATCAGGACTGACACAAGGCAGTCCAAATGTTCCAGACGTGGCCATTTTCACCCCATCAGAGGGTTCTGGTGCTAGTGTGATTATTCTCGTCAGATTTACAGAGCCTATTATAGAAACACTAGCCAATGTTATGTAATCGTGATGGCAGGCACAAACTGTGTGAGGAGATTTCACCTGTCTAATGCACCTGATCCCAAGAATCAGGTGCCTGATAGTCACATAGTATCCTGAAGCCCATGTGAACATTAGCCAAACGTTCATCTGAAGGAAATAACAACATCCCACAGTTAGTTACTGATGCTGATATGCTCAAATAAATGTAAAACTTAGTGGGAATTTTACCTGAAAGTGTCTATAATCTAATAAACACCACCAGACTGCTTTGAAATTACTTACTTCGATATGATTAACTGCACTAGTAAATTACAATTCATATGCCAGTAACTCATTAATCCAGGTATGCACATTAACAAAAACATGTATATTTGTACAATTTATAGAATAACACAGACGTAATCTGGAATAGAGAAATTACACCATCTATTCATTCACACACTACATAGTAAATAAACTTCTCATATATACCGCAACAAAACTTAAGGAAAACAGTTTAAAAACTCAATTGGATGTTTCAAAGTGTTGATACATCCAAAATGAGTGGACAGACATAATCTAATAAACACCACCAGACTGCTTTGAAATTACTTACTTCGATATGATTAACTGCACTAGTAAATTACAATTCATATGCCAGTAACTCATTAATCCAGGTATGCACATTAACAAAAACATGTATATTTGTACAATTTATAGAATAACACAGACGTAATCTGGATTAGAGAAATTACACCATCTATTCATTCACACACTACATAGCAAATAAACTTCTCATATATACCGCAACAAAACTTAAGGAAAACAGTTTAAAAACTCAATTGGATGTTTAAAAGTGTTGATACATCCAAAATGAGTGGACAGACAGTCTGCCACCACAGACACACAAAAGCCTGTAGTTGTTTGTTCAAATAAAAGGCATTTGGATTTATAGATGGATATTGTTGAAACTGAAATCAAGTCTCGGTCATAATGACCAAGAAAGCATAACATAATATGACACTAGTTCACCTCCCAGTTTGTCCTGCTAACTGTAACCAGCATCTCATACAGCATCAATTAATACTAAAGTCCTGGTTTCATAACCGTTAAATTACTTATTCCAGATTAACACCTGAATAAAGATGCAAAATTGTGTGAGTTTGAGGTTTGAAGCTAGTTGGCTAATCTGTCCCATCATCACTTAAGGATACAGTTTAAACCCCTTTAGAATCTCCTTCGCTCTGTCTTCTTCCGAAGACATCTTTTCCCTCGATCTTCAGCTTCAGCAGAAGAAAATAGGCGAATTAAAACGTTCCGTCGAGGAATAACTAATAAATATCGGACAAAACAGCTTGTAAACTACACAAAATCTACCTCGAAAGGCTTTTAGTTTCAGTGAGATCCAGCTTTAATCTGAACGGATACACTCGATCCGCTCACAACCTACTGTAAATAGATTTTTGTGGGAGACTGACAGCTGGTTCGACCAATCATCTTGCGAATTTTCGAAGACCTGGATTAAATGCACCAATCATAGCGGAGATGCGAGAACCAGGGCGGGGTTTGGTTGCGTAGGGACGCGTCACCGATGGCAACCCCTCAAACGTCCTTCGAACGCAACAGAACGGAAGCGCGTGTGTGACATAAAAGTTATCTGTACTATATTTGCTATGGAATAAATAAGGCGCTTCATGAGGAACTGACCGGGGATAACATATAAATACAATTCAGATGAATAACGCTCCATTTATGGATAGTGGACTATAAAGGAGGCCAGTGTACGTTCAGATTGTTCTCTTTATATAAAATATTTTGAATTGAATTTGAATTGTGATAACAAACATGCGGCTAAGTAGTTCAGACAAAAAGATGCTGGAGCATATAGACTAATGAGCCCTTCAATGGGTTAACCATCTTTGAACGTACTCCATTTTATACTTTACGATATATTTCAAAATAAAATAAAATATATTCTCTACAAGTTATATTTTTTTCTTAATATTAACACAATAATAGAAAGGCTCATCTTAATATAAACTGCGTGCTTGTAATGTTGTTCAGAGCAGGGCAGAGATGTTGGCCTATATATCATTATTATCATCATCATTATTGTTGTTGTTGTAAAACTCATATGTCATATGTCAACAGAGCCAAGCTGTGTTAACAGCAGAATTTGCAAATCAGTTTCTCTTCACAACACACATGTAGTCTGTAAAAGCAGTTTACTATATTATGAAAGCTCTGTGCAAATTATATGTCTAAAAGAAGCCCTGTGGCTAAGCAAAAACCAGCACAGGAAATAATGATGGCTATATCTGTGCAATTTATGAACAAGTCTCAAAATGCTCTCCTTGTGACTGAAGAGAGTGGTCATGTAAAACCACAGATATCTGTATTACAAAATGTATTCCCCATGTCTCTGCTCTACTCAGCGCTACACTACAAGCACTTTATTATATTATATTATGCAGAGAGGACCTGTAATGGCAGAGTGTGACCAGGGGGTGGTGCGGTAATACAAGCAATGTTCAGTGCAATAGTTTGCACTGAACATTTTATTTTAAAAAAAGAAATCACGAACTAAGTAATTACTGGAAGTTCATGGACTCTTAATCATTCATCAAAAAAAAAAAAAAATCTACAGCCTGTATTACAATGGAAATATATGATCCTTCATCAAACACAGGTCTGCTATTTCAGAGATATCACAGCCAAGATTGAAAGGATGAGAAACTAGGAGCAGAAAGCCCTTATATTACCGTATTAGCCCGAATATAAGACGACCCCGATTATAAGACGACTTTTCTTTTTCTTTTGTTTTTACTCGCGATCTTTACAACACGCATTACATTACGTATTTCATGGCACACTCGTTTTATGCGCATTTGGCGCCACCTAGTGTTGTGGGTGTATTATTGACATGTCAAAGTCTAGACCCTGAATATAAGACGACCGCGTTTTTTCAGATGTATTTCCAAGAAAAAAATATCGTCTTATATTCGGGACAATACGGTAACAGTAAATCTTATGTCTCTGCAGTGGTCTGCAAAATCCCATGCAATTTATTACATAAATTGCTGTCTCTGCTTCTCCCAGCAACTTGAAATATACTTGTGCATGGATGTATTTTTTCCCCTTACAAATACTACATTTGACATTGCATCTTTCAGTGAGACTGCTTGACCACAAATAGGACTGTACACTCTGCATTTAAAAGAGAAGATGCGTGTTCTTAGACTTACAAACTGGCATAAATATTACACAAACACTATGAAGTTTAAAAGTTCCTGATTGATAGGTTAAAAAAACATTTTTAATGGTCAGGAAAACTCCTCCAATGAGACATTTTGCCAGAAAGTACACGCTCGCATTTTTATTATTTTTCAAGCAGCTGAGCTTTGCATTGAGCTAAATGTTCTCTTACTGAAATTCTGTCAAGTGTCAAATGTTGTTCTGGTCAGTGTCAGTTGAATTAGTGATGGAGAATGATGTCATATGAAAGACAGGAGCAGAGATCCTCTACACCACAAACTCATCACTCGACGAACTTAGACTCGAGCTGTTCAATTAATAATTACACCTTTCACCTCCTCTTTAATGCATGATTAGGCCTCATTTCAAAGGTGGTGTGATAAGAATGCACACAAAAATTGAGACAAGCCTGACGTATACCACATAGTAACTCTCCATTTTTTTTTAACAGTCCTCCATCTGAAAAGGCCCTGGAGGGGCACATAAGCCTGCTTTCATCCTCTATACACTTCATATAAAATAAGCAGTGCATGTTTTACTACATATTTACATTGACTAACTGATCTATTTTTAAGCAGTATACTCTTTTAAGAATTACATTCAGTAAATTTCATCATCTGCTGTTTTCAATAAATACGTTTCATTTGAAAGTTTCATGTTATTCCAGTTCTTTGAACTGAGATTTGCTTTTGTGGTTGTTATCATGACAGTTCAGAGCACTGAGGCCATTACATAAAAGACAGTGCTGAACCCAGCCTCACACATGTAATGCTGTTTTATGATGTCAAAGCTGCAGCTGCTCAGATAATTTATTGGAAAAACAACATAAAAGTAGACAAAAGACAAAAATCGCATTACCAGTTCCCAGGAAACTGTGATATTTTGCACTGTGATATTTTGCACCGTTGTTCAGTGTGGTAATCTCTTTAACATCATATCACATCAAAACATTTAATTGCTTTTGGGATATTTTAAAACATGCAAGATTGAAGAGAATCTATCTATCTTTCTGCAACTACCTAGCAACCACCCAAGACACCCTAGCAACAGCCTAGCTACCATTCAGAACACCATAGCAACCACCCAGAACTTTCTAGCAACTGCATAGCAACCCCCTCGTAACCACCCAGAACATACTAGAAACACCCTAATAACTACAAAGCAATGCCCTAGCAAAACTGCCAAGCAACCATACAGAATGCCCTAGCAACTTCAAAGCAACACTCTAACATCTGCCTAGCAACCGCCCAGAACACCCGTAACCTGCCAGATCATGGTGCGTCTCAATTCAGCTCCCGAGCTCGTGAATCAGTAGATCGTGTACACGAATTCGGGCACTGGTAAGTTCCCTGACTCACTGCACGTTGGGACCAAGTGTGCCGCAGGAGTCTTAAAAAGTGAAGCCATTGCGTTTCGATCGCCCCCAGGTGGCTGGTCCCAGTATAGGTCATAAACCCCGCCCTCTCCATGCAATCTAATGGGACATGGGACAAACGAAATAATTAAATTTCACTTCAAATAATTTTTTTTGTTAATGGCTTTTGTCATTTGATGTAGATTTTATCACGCTGATGTAAGTTCCAGTGTTCGTTTTTTAAATAATTTTGGCTTTAGTTAGTTAAGTGATGCTATAAAAACGGGAGTGTGACGTCATGATTGACAGCTGAGTCTGACAGCTTCTCTGAGTGATCTGAGGCGCCAAAGGACTTTTTCGGGATCTTTAGGAGGATATTGGAGTTGTATTTACCTTATTTTAACCAAGCGGCAACCTCCCGCTCTCTCTCTCGTAGCAACCAGCTCCCACCTTTTTGCCCATTTTCGATTATCCGGGAGCGACGCACGGTGACTCGCTGCCAAGATGGCTACGGCCGGCTCTGCCCACTTTGAGCAGACGCGGCTCCACTTCGCTCGCAACTGCGCAGACTCTGGTCCCGAGTTCTCTACTGCGCAGACTCCGGTTCCAAATCAGCGCAATATGGCCGCGCCCTGTTGGGACAATGGCGGCTTCACTTTTCTTCAATGGAAGAGATTGAAGGTGCGTCGTCCATCTTTTTATACAGTCTATGGTTGGGACAGTGATCACTCGAATTCCAGTGACACGATTACGTACAGCGTCAACGGACAACATAATAGAACGTCATCACTGGAATTAATAAACAACATGTAGGACCAATCTAATTTTTATATTATTTTTTATTCTCTTTAAACACATCATTCTGTTACATGTTCTTACATTTCAGCCGAATATTAATTATAAATGTTAATTAGATGTGTTCAATTCCTGTCTAGCGATGTGTGTTTATGTTGAAATGTACTAAAAATGGTTTGTCTTTTCAAATCTTCTGTCACACGTCATTATATTTATCGAGTTGGCTCGTGTGGTTTATGTTTCACGCTTCAGAAATGTGACGTTATTTCCGGTAAGGGAGCATAGTGAGCGCCGATGCTCCCTAGTTTTTGCGGTGCATTGTGGGATTTTTCAGGGAGCGAACGTTCCAGTGAACTTAAAGGATTTCGCGATTGAGACAGCCCTTAAAATGGCCGACTCCCTGATCAGTGCCCTGACTACTGAACAAGGGAGCTGATTGAGACGCACCCTAAGTAACGAGTACCTACAAAGCAACACCCTAGAAACCGCCAAGCAACCACACAAAATGTCCTAGCAACTGCATAGCAACACCCTAACATCTGCCTAGCAACCACCCAGCACACCATGGCAACCACCTAGAAACACCCTAGAATCTGCCTTAGCAATGACACAAAAAACCCTAGCAAATATCCAGAACACCTAGAAACACCTTAGTAACTGCATCACACAACTGTCTAGTTATCATACATAACAACCGCATAGCAACACCCTAGCACCCACTCAGAAAATCCAAGAAACCACATAGTCACTACTCAGAACACCCCACCAAATGGCTACGCCCTTACAACCCCACAGAACACCATAACAACCACTTAGCAACCACCCAGAGCACCCTAGGAACTGCTTAGCAAGCACCCAAAACACCCTAATAAACATCTACCCTAATAATCCAGCATCCACCCAGAAGACCCTAGCAATGCCCTCACAACTACAAAAAACACCAGCAACCACCCACACTTTGACTGCTATGACTGGCTTATAGATAAACAAGAAAAAAAATATGGAGATTTTAATGAGAAATTAGCCAGTCGATTGCACTCAGTTTTGGCCACACGTGTGCCTTTTTGCTGTTCACCCCATGAAATAATTTTCTTTTTGAGTGAATGGAGAATAAAGACTATTCATACTGTTTGAGGGAATACTAGAGCTGAATAACAGCTCTCACACGGCCAGTGTGAGTCCATTGTGACTCTTCGAATCCTGAGCAGAAGGTCCGGTTCTGACATGAACAATTCAAAGTTTTTTCTTGTATGTATCTTTTGCACACAACTTATGTCAATTTGGGTAAGTTATCGCTGACAAAATGACCAAATTATCCATTATCATTTACACTTCTCTCTTCCAGGGAGAAATGATGCTAGAATTAGCTCTAATGTTGACTGGAAATGGAGCTGAACAGGAAATAGAGTGTGTGAAAAGGGCTTGCAGTGGCTAAATGGGAGAGCGCATAAAAAAGGCAGGAAATTAGGTAAAGCTCATTAAAAGAGAGTGTTGCAGCTGGAAGATAAGCAGACTGTGACTTCTCTATTAGACAGCTCGTTACCTGGAGTTATCGAGCAGCAAAGACCAATCATATTGCATGTAGTCTAAAAAAGAAGACAGATTATAGTGTCCACAGAGACTTGTGTGAAACTATTAAAGCTTTTAGACATATCCACACATTCAGCATATCATATTATTTTACCACTTTTTTATCAAGACATTTGCTAGTATGAAGCATTGCATCTGATCTGTGAAACTAAAATGAAAATAAAATGTTATTTGCTGATTTACATTTGGATCTGTCCAATGTGATAACAGTAAAACAGATAAAACCCCCATTTGTCAGGCAGCTAACTGTTACTAATCAGAACAGAAAGCTTTTTCATCAGAACTATTTTTGTCCCCTTTCCCCATGCAAGTCCCATCCAGTGTTGCAGTTATAATTATTGTCTTGTTTCCAGTCGCTTAGACGACATTAGCTGTTATATTAGTCCTGATTCTGCCAGTGGAATAAAATTCTTAGTTCAATGTTCACTGAGCATTACACCAAATTTAAATTTATTAATTATATAAGCAAATTGCATGTGTTTTGAAATGTGTACAAAACTGGTTTGCTGATCAAAACTGAATTAATTCTCAGTGAAACTGTCATACTCTTCACAGTTTCTAAACATTATTTAATTGTTTGAGCCATCACATAATTATCCTTTCAAATATCAAAATCTGTCAGACATTTATATTCCATAAATATCTGTGACATGGAATGGTTTGTTTATATGCAATGCATTGTTACAAAAATAAAAGTATTTCACGGAAGACTTTCACAAAACAGCATTCAGACAGAAAACTTTTCATTTTGGTGGCATTGGCCAATTTACTGACACAATAACTATAGGTTTTGAATCATGAAATAAATGTTTTGGATGAGTTACATTTTCTGTGTATGTATATAACATTTTGTAGACATGCAATAGAGTTGTAATGTCCCATAAAACAAGACTTACGGTTAACAGAATGTTAAGAAAGGCTAAGAAAAATTAGATAAAGCAAATGAGAAAAACTGTAATATCAGCCATTTATTGACCAAAAAAATTGGCTTATATATTGGCAAAATTGTTAATATCAGTGCACCCATAGCAATAACAGTGTGTCAAGCTTTGCCTTTAAGTTTTAACAGCCTTTAAAAGTGACAGACAGATAAATAGACTGTAGATGCTGTTACAGTCAGACATTTTCAAAGGAAATCTATGGGATTTTAAGGGTATTTGATGACAGGAAATTGATATGCAGACCTTCTAGAAAAGAAAAAGTATACTGAGTACAGTTTGAAGGACAGTGTCGAATTCATGAAATTTAGCTTGAATGCCAAGTTGAGTTAGTGTTAGAAATTTTAGTCTGAAACTTATAAACTTTAATATCATTGTTACAGTTATCCTGCAAGTATAATTAGTCTGTATGTTTTGTTACACAAAGGGGATGGCTTTAAAAACCCAAAGAACCCAGTGATCCACATTTAGCGTCCGCTTCTAATGTTAGCTCTTGAAGGAGAGAGAGAAGTCTCAATAGGCCTCCAGGAAGTTGTCAAAATGGAAACACATTTCTGTATGAGAGATGACTAAAATATAAATAGATAATGTGAACACATTTCATTGTTGTACAATGAAAATGTAGCAACATTCATTGTTTTATCATAATGCAAGTTTTTTTCTATAACGAAACCACTAATGCAAATGTAGTGTTCTTAATGGCTGTGTGTACCTACAATTTCTGTGGAAGGGTTGTATGAAAAAAGCATCTGAAAATCTGCTTTATCAGCAAAAATCCACCTAATGTTTGCTTTATGTTCAAATTCCAGCAGCTACCGGTCCTCTATCTGACCCTGGTGGGAAATAACAGAAACAGATGCACGGTGCTGGTGTGAATTACAGATATAGCTCTGGATCACATCATCAGCATTCAGATGTTTTTGTTTGTGTGTGTGTTTCGCATCCTTTAAGCCTTGCAATTTAATCACCCAGATTGCTTTTGATGTCTTTATACTTCAAATGCAGCCATAGTAATTTATCAGCAGTGAATGAGAGGTATGGCTCTGAACATTGCTTTGACAGCCTAGGAACACAGAGCACTGTTTGCCAGACAGCCTCACATCTGGGTTAATTCGAGGTTATTTTAAGGACCTAATCATACATATGATCAAGGACAGTATTTCCTAGTCATAGCTATTGTCAAATATGGGTGAACAGGCCATTTAGAAATGAGTGCTGGAGGGTTTTCAAACACACTCTTATTAAAAGGTCAGCAGAGTCAGGACTGAGCTTCAAGAACTGCTGTATTTAACATATGTCTTCAGACTCTCGGCAGTAGCTTTGATAAAGGTCACTGAAAAGCTTCTGTGAAAATGAGTATCTGTAATGGGCAAAGGATGAAGAGGAAGCTGGTTGGTTTTAATGATTTTTCATACATCACAGTCACATACACACAAAAATACTTTTGCTACTTGCTCGGTTTTACGAAATTAAAATGAGTTATTGCAGGGTTCCTCAAATCTTGCCCTGGAGGGCCAATGCGCTGCAGAGTTTAGCTCCAACCCTAATCAAACTCACCTACCTGTGATTTTCTAATGACCCTGAAGACATTGATTAGCATGCTCAGGTGTGTTTGATTAGGGTTAGAGCTAAACTGTGCAGGAAAGTGGATCCCGTGGGCCAGATTTGAGGATCCCTGAGTTATTGTAACACATTTGGTCACAACTTAATTACATTGCCAATTATAAAACGGGAGTTTAATGTTTTGTTGAATTGGGGTTTATAAAGGCCAGTTCACACTGCACTGACAGATGCAGACCACTGCCGAAAGTCACCAGATTACAGTAGGCTACGTCACTTTTCAGACAGTCCAAGAACCGATAAACGCAGATTCAACCTGCTCTATCGGCGAAAACAAGTGCTGACCAAAGTCACAGAGGTAACAAGGGTACACCAGACGAATGTGTCTTTTGCCATTTGTCTGCGTCTGTTGGTGCAGTGTGAATTGGCCTTAAGAGTTTCTGTTGCAAACACCATGTTATATGTAGTAAATAAAGTTAGCATATTTAGCATACAAATGTTTGACAAATAAAATTTAATTGG